GCGGATTTTGAGACAAGGAGCAGGAGGCAGCGGTGAGCAGCCCCCAACCGGGTCCGAGGCTGAGCCCCCGAGGAGTGAGTACTGCAGTGGCCGGCCGGGCGCAAGCTGGGGGCCGTAGACCCAAGCGGGAAAGGGGGGTGAGGGTGGGTGCGAGTGCTGGCCCAGCGCCTGGAGGATTGGGGGGGGGCGCTGTGCCCCCTGGGGTGCGGGCTAGTCTGGCCTGTCCCTTACTGAGCCGATGCCTTGGCCAATCCCTGGGGAAGGTCGGGATGAAATTGAGGGAATGGGGGTGGGCAGTGATAGAGACCTGGGGATTTGGAGGCAGGATGACGTGGGGGTGGATGACAGGAAGAGGGGGCTGGGGCGAGGGGGAAGCATGGGGGGGAAGATAATGGATTTCTTAGGCCAGCCCCTGCCCCCTTCCTCTGGGGCCAGGGTATTTTCCCTATTCAGGACTGTGCCAGCTGGTCAGGATGGAGTCTCCAGGTCATCCAGCCATGAGGAGTGGGGTGCCTCAATATGTGCCCAAGAGCTTGGAGGGCCCAGAGGAGAGGGCCCATTTAGGAGTGGGTGGGTGCCCAGGCCAGTGGAGCACTGATCAGCGGTGCCAGTTCCCTGGAGAAAGAAAAGCAATTTGCAAAGCTGGGCAGCAGCCTGAGGTAGATTGTTCTGACTAAAATTAGCACCAATATTCTGATGAGGCTGGGCACCCTGACCTGCCTGGGACGCTGGGGAGGCTCTCCATGCAGAAGGCAGGGAGGCCAGGAGCCTGGGCCCAGCCGGACACCCCAACCCAGCCTCGAGAAGGCACGGGGCCACCCCAGTCTCACAGAGACAGCTTGGGTGAACTCACCCCAGGCGGGGAGGCCTCCCCCAAAGTCCCAGCAGCACCCTCTCTCGGGACCTGGAATGTTTAGCGTGGCTGAGCGCCCACCCAGAGGAGACAGGGTTACTATTTTCAAATACCTGAAGGTCTGTCATGGAGAAAAATGCCCGTGTGGTCTAGCAACTGTGCAGGGTAGAAGGTGGCAGGGGCAGAGTCGAGGATGCTAACTGTCCCAGAAAGAACCTTCCAACAGCAGAGGCAGCCCAGACATGCACCGGGCTCTCGCGAAGGGGACGAACACCCTGCCCCAGCAGTGGCCAGGCAGGAGACTCATCTCACTGAGCTCTGGAAGTGCCCCTGCTCTTGCCCTCACCTGCCTCTCAAAGGCAAGTGAGGCCAGCGGCAGAAGCCAAGGCTTTTTAAGGTACCAGAGGCGCTCCTGGAAACGGAGTTAGCAATCCACCGAGCCAGAGTGATGCCAGAAACCTCTGTGAGGTGTGTGTGGACTGGACTGGAGGTGCAAGGAGAGTCCAAAGAGAAGGACCAGCCCGGGTGTCCACCTAGACGCTCGAGCTGACAAGAAAAAGCCCATGTGGTGACAGCACCAGACCTCCTCAGAAAAGCCACAGGTGACTCGCTGACTCGCTGAGACGGTGAAGCAGGTCGCTTCTGTCAGGGGCCGAGGCTGAAGGCACCATGGCAGAGGCTGAAATTCATCTTTTTAATAAAAACTGATCAGCACTTTTTTAAAAGGAGAGGAACCAACGCCCAATTTGGAGGGCTGCTGTCCAGGGGACCCTGACACTCACGACGCCCTCTTCCCAGCAAGCCTCAGACTGGGAGCTGGCTCCCCAGGGCTGGGCAGGGAAGGGGGGGCTGGAGGTGCCACCAAGCACCCTTCTCTGTGTGGCCAGGTTGGGGCATCTCCAGGCAAAGGCCCACCACAGCCCCGAGTGCCCAACCTCCCTAGCCAAGAAACAGAGCGGTCTCGTGAACTTAGCAAAGACAGGGATAGGCTTGCCCCCACTTTTGTCCTTAGCAACCCCTGTAGACACAATTAGTGCAGAAGGCAGGCAACCTGAGAGGACCAGGGGCTCCAACAGACCCCCTGCCCCCCAGAAGGAGTCCTGGCTTTCTCTGCTAAGCCCCCAGGTGCCCTCTGTGGCTGGACCCTTCACCGCGCCTGGCTCCAGGCAGATTAAGTCTGTCTGCTGGCTGGGGGAAGAAGCCAGGTGATAGGATCTGGCGAGAAGGGGAAGGCATAAACGGGACATCTTTCCACCCAAACAGGTTTAAATGTAATCCAGGATTAATTGGGGGGAGGGGTTTAAAGAAGAGGGCCTGGAAGCCAAGCCCAAGGCCCCAGGGGAAGGTGATGGTCAAAAGAGTGTCAGCTGACCTCAACCCTCCAGGGACCCAGGTGTCCTAGTTCCATACACCTACATGCCCCTAACATTTGGGGCTCCCCCTCCCATGTGGAGAGATGTGAGGCTGCAGCTGGACTGGTGCCTGGCGACCCGGGCCCTGACACAGACCCCACCTGAGCTGGTGATAGGCGCCACGGCGGCAGCTGACTTTCCACTGGAGCTGCCAGGGGCTACGCTGCCCTTGAGTCGAAGCACTGGGGCGGGGACAGGACAGCGGCCAGCAGCCAGCCCTTCTGCTCACTCTCGCAGGACACCTGCGCTCGCTGGCGCCCCTTCTCCCGGAGACCTCAGCAGGGCAACAGGCAGGAGCCCGTCCCACTGCCAGCCCCCTCCCCCGTCAGGTCCCTGTCTGGGCAGTCAGCTGATGGGGTGGCCAGGGTTTCAGGTGTCTGGGATGAAATCTAGATAAGGTTCCAGGATTTCAAGGCCTTCCTTTCTTTTTCCCCGTGGATTTACTGGCCCTGGCTTCTCAGGCAAGAGCCTGGTGAGGCGCTGCTCAGAAACAGGCAGAACTGAGGGTCAGGGGGAGGGGAAACCGTTCTCACAGCATCGACTCGGAGCCAGAGAGCAGGCCTGCACCCCCATTAATACCAGTGCTGGGGCTGCACTGAGTGGCACCATAGCTGAGAGCCTCTGTTTCCTTGTCTGTAGAATGGAAGCAGCACCTCTGTGGGGCTGTGTGAGGACTGAGGGGAACAGTGTGGTCCACACGTAAGCCTGCAGCGCCCATTCTTCCCTCTGTCACACTCAAGGTCACTGTCTCTGAAGAGCTCAGTCTCGGGAGAGCCAAGACCAGCCAGTGGCCAAGGCACCCCGGCAGGTAGTTCCGGAGGAGGGGAAACCTTAAATTGGGACTTCTGCTGTGAGCCCGGCCCTAGTGCTAAGGCAAGACTCCTGGGGAGACAAGGCGAAGACCACAGACACTCAAGCAGGCAGAGAATGGGGCTCAAACGAGAGCGAGTATGGCCTGACGGCTGGCCACACCCCAGAGCCTGTAATTCCACCCAAGACTAAGTTATCTGCAGCGGTGTGGAGATAGGGTCTTGGTAACGGGAGCAGGAATCCGATCTTGCCTGGCCTCTCTGCTCACCCACCTTTGCAGTCCTCCACAGTCCTGTGGGGGCCCCCAGCCCATCTCCTCTGCCCACTGCAAACCTGTTTGCCTCCTTCTCCTGCCAGGCCGCTCAGGAACACTGGCCCTGCTGCCAGAGCCCCAGGAGCCCCCATGAGTGCCGGAGAAGGGAGTCCTGGATAGCAAGGCCCTGTCTGGTCCAGGAGAGGGCACCCCATCATGGCACCCATCGTCCAACACCTGCAGCAAGCCACCAAGATGATGAGCCGCAGGAAAATCCTGCTGCTGGTGCTAGGGTGCAGCACTGTAAGCCTCCTCATCCACCAGGGGGCGCAGCTCAGCTGGTAAGGTGGCCAGGTTGGGGTTGCGGGGACCCAGACTGCGGGTCCTCTGGGTGCTGGGTAGCTCCATCTGTTTCTTCCACTGGCAGAAAAGTCCGCTTCTGCTTGACTTTGCTCCTTCCCCTGGTCTGAAAATGCTTTCCATATCACCTGTTCAGATTCCCATAAACTCCCTGGGCAGGGATTATTCCTCATGGGGGCAGAGTGACCCACAGTCAAGTCAGTGGCCAGGCCAGATGGCTGATCCAGCCTTCTGAGAGACTTCCCAGAGGACTAGATGAACTTCCCTCACAACTCTGGGCCCCAGTCTCCTTACCTGTATGATGGGAGTGCGAGACAGGGAATGTTCCTGGCTCTCTGTGTGAACCCTGCAAAAAATCCTGGCACCTCTCGTCTCCGCTACAGATGTCCTGCCCATGACCTGGCCCGAGAGTGGTGTGAATCAGCCCATTCCCTCTTGCCATTTGACTGGGTGGGCTTTAGACCGCACATCTGAGCAGACAGGATCCTGAGAGACCAGACTCAGAATTAGGAATGTTAACAGTGACTCCAAAGCACGGAGAGCTGTCCTCGTTAGCTGCTGCTTAGGAGGGTGGAGACAGGAGAGCCACTGAGTCTGAGGAGAACTTGTGGGTCACTGATGACCCCCAACACTCTAGTTGCAGGACCTCGGAAGCATGAAAGCTTCGCAAAGGCTAGGATGAGTATCTGCTTTCCACACTCTCATCTGTCATCGTTATTGAACCTAGGCAGTGGAGACTCAAAAACAGTTGTTGAGTGAAGGAAGGAGGTTCCTGGTGACAGACGGTGGCAGCGCGCTGGCCCCTCCCCGCCTGTGTTATCTTAGAGAGAAAGACGCCAAGATGGAAACGCTGGCCTTTGCCTTCCATCCCTTCAGCGGTAACACCCCATTTTCCTGCCCTACCCTATGCCATCAGGGAGCGAGCGCAGGGGCCCCCTCAAGAGGCCGCCTACCAAGTCCTGCCCCGGTTCTGGGGGTACATCCGGAGGGGGTGGGTCCAGGGTCATCCCCTCGCTCTCATCCCCTCCCGCGGCCGGCCCCGGCCCCTGCAGGTACCCCAAGCTGTTCCCTCCGAGCTGCCCGCCACTGCGGTCCTCGCCGCCGCGCCCCAAGCACCTGACTGTGGCCTTCCTGAAGACGCACAAGACCGCGGGCACCACGGTGCAGAACATCCTGTTCCGCTTCGCGGAGCGCCACAACCTGACGGTGGCCCTGCCGCACCCGAGCTGCGAGCACCAGTTCTGCTACCCGCGCAACTTCTCCGCGCAGTTCGTGCACCCGGCCACGCGGCCGCCGCACGTGCTGGCCAGCCACCTGCGCTTCGACCGCGCGGAGCTGGCGCGCCTCATGCCGCCGGGCACCGTCTACGTCACCATCCTGCGCGAGCCGGCCGCCATGTTCGAGTCGCTCTTCAGCTACTACAACCAGTACTGCCCGGCCTTCCGGCGCGTGCCCAACGCGTCGCTCGAGGCCTTCCTGCGCGCGCCCGAGGCCTACTACCGCGCGGGCGAGCACTTCGCCATGTTCGCGCACAACACGCTGGCCTACGACCTGGGCGGCGACCACGAGCGCAGCCCGCGCCGCGACGCCAGCTACCTGGCGCGCCTCATCCGCCAGGTGGAGGAGGTCTTCTCGCTGGTCATGATCGCCGAGTACTTCGACGAGTCCCTCGTGCTGCTGCGGCGCCTGCTGGCCTGGGACCTGGACGACGTGCTGTACGCC